TAACAAACAACACATCCCATGCCTGTAAGCAGCTTTCTATCATCTCTAAGATGCCTCAAAGATGAAACACTCTTTATATACGCTGGAGAATTGCTGTGATCCTCCCAGGAGTAAAGTCCCCGTCATGTCTGTAGGAGATATTCCTATGCCGCACCAGAGAACTCCAAGAAAGTGTAGACTCTTTGGAAAGTCCACATATTAGCTCTACCTCTCACTTTGTTTGAGGGGAGTAGAAAATGTAAAGCACTGCTAGTCCCGCCAGCCTCTTGGAAAAATGGAAAGGTACAAGCTATTTCTTTGCCTCCTGTCTTCCTTCCGGCTCTCTTTCATTCTCATACATATGATCTGAATGCTTATTTTGCCAAGCACCTTTCTAAGTGCTAACGATACGTATGGATACAAAAATCTCCATTCTAAGCGGGCTTGCATCCTACCAAAGACAGGAAATGCAAAACAGAGTACCTTAGGTCATTGGTAACTCCTGGTTCACATGATCAAAGTCTTTCAACTCTTCATTCCTTTCAATGCTGATTCCCGGATCTGGGATCAGCCAGATCCATGTGGTATGGCCAGCCCCCATGCACGTCGGGGTTTAGTGAGTGATGAATGAACGAATGCATTTCTGAAATATGATTAATTGGCTAAACAAATGGTTCATATTCCTCAATGAAAAACCTACACAGCCCTACATTCTCTCCATAAGATGAATCTAAAATGACCTCATGAGTGTTCCATGAAATTGAGTGTATTTGAACAAAATACAGCTTGTAACAAGGTCTCATGAGAAAATCAAATCAATCTCATCAAATCAAGCCACCTGAATCTGGACATGCCCCGATTGTGTCCGGGAAGAGCAAAATACCAGCTATATTGTAGCTCTCCTGGCTTTTGGGCTAACAGATGATACTTCAGACAGTTCATAGAAACAGCAGATTCAAAGGTAAGTTTATCATGAGTAAAACAGTGTAAGAATATTTCACAAAGCATGCTTTCAGGACACACGGCAAGATACAGTTGTGCCTGAGCCTACCTCTGTTCCCACCTGGGTCCCACATTACACGGGTTAAGGTGTGGGCTGCAATGGTGGACCGATTGCCGGTTAGCTGTTTTTCCTCCCATCTGCCCCACCTCTGCCACCTGATCTCCATACTGACCTCTCTGAAAAGCCTCAGTTTTGTAAATAACTTTAGAGCAATGGATTCCAAAACATTTGCCTCTAGGTTAGCACACATAAAGGGGCAACAAAGAGAGGTTCCAGTCCCCCACTAGGAATATGAAATCTGTTTTCTCCAAGTTTCCTTTCCGGAACTACTTTTCCTATTGTCTCCGTTAAAGTCATTACTGCAGCTTCAATTTAAAATGCTTATTTTTACTGAGTTTAATTTAGATACACATTTGCATTGTAAAATGGATACTTTAAAAATAATTTTAGTCTTCAAGCATAAATGCTAGTTCTTTGTAAGGAAAGTAACTGCCTGAGTTGCATGCTATTGATAAAGGTAAAGTGAATTTCTGAAGTGAGATTTTAACTGCCTGTCTTATTACTGGAATAGTGGGAACATGGTATGTACTGAGATTTTGTGTTAAATGTATACAATTTCTTTACAAATATTTTTATTAAGATCTTTTTATGTTATTAACAGTGATTAGAATGAGTATCCATTTATTAGATACCAACAATATGTTGGCCATGGAAAGGAGAAATGAAATCTTATCTAGGTTCATTGGGTTTCCAATGACTTTTACACATAGTAAAGTCATGAATATAATGGATATTGCTATTTCATGTATTGTTGGCATCCAGTACATGGTGGAAATTTGACAAGAACCACAATCACATGGTGCCAGTTCTCTCATGTATGGTAAGTTCTCAGTGAATAGTTTCTGGATGTCTCAGCAGGTGCTACATTGAATACAGTGAGCACAAGAGGAAGTGAAAGTTTTCTCCCTGTACTGAAATGCAGGTGGAGAGGCATGGTTGCTGTTGTTAGCTTAAAAGCACAGCACTTAACACACAGGAGGTATGCAAGGTCAGTACCTACTAGTCATCACTCATTCTCTTCACTTGCATCTTTTCTAAGTTCATGTATATTCTTACAAAGCCCAATGTCAGCACTTACTGAAGAAGGTTAACATTTAAGCAATTAGAATCTTTATTCTTTCATTTGGAACAAAACAAATAATTTCTACTTACCACATACTATCATTTTAGAACAACCAACACTCCTTAAAGACATTGTTGAGAAAAACAGGAGCATGAAAATCACAGGCTCATACTAAATCTTTCTTTAACAGAAATTATTCATTTGGAAAAGCAATTTAGATTAAGTTAAAAAATCCACAGATAAAATGGATGTACCTTCATGATCCAAATTAATGCAACCTCCAACACAATAGACAAATTCCACACCTGGTTGGGGGAGGGATTATATTCTTTGCAGGGATGGCAGAGTTGACTATACACATTTACGTTGTTTAGAATGGCACTTAAGTAATTTTTCACTGCTCAAATTCCCTTCAGCGGATAGCAGGAAGGCGGCCTGTGTAGAAAGGAAGACAGTCATCCTGGGGTTTAACAGGTGCCGGAGGTGATATGTGCAGTGAATGATGACAACTTTCAGAGCACCGGGTTAACTACAGAAAGCGTTACGGTAGGGATGTTTTTACTTCCATATGCTGTCAGGCATAACACATTTTATATGGGAGGTCAGGAGGAGACTGCAGGAAGAAACAGAGAAACTAAGAGAGCGACAGGAGTGGTTTCAGTGGCTGCTGAAATACCTCTTTACTCTCTTCCTAAGTCCTCTGACTTGGCTGCCGGAGTCTCAGCCACGCCTGGACTACTGGCCAGCATGCCATGGGCAGAAGCTCTGACTTACAGTAAGCAACAGGAACTAACCACACAGGAAAAACATTCTGGCAAGTGTGTCTTCTGCCCCTCTGTGTCCGTATGCCCCGCAGGCTTGGGTGATGGATGTGGGCTCACTTGGTTTTCAGTGTCTGTTTTCAGCCCAACACCTCCGGACTTTGGGATAACATTCTTTCCATCTTCTAGCAACAAGCTGAATGATTTCCAATTTAGGGCTTATCATAGTTTCGGACTTGAATGGACAGGTTTAAGTTTCATGAAAAATTATTAACTCAAGGAATGACTTGGTATGTAATTTGCTTTGAATAATGATATATAGTTTCAAAAACCATGCAGTAGGAAATGGGCTCCCTGTTTATTTCATTATTGTGTGTGTTCCAGTTTGCTCATTTACTTTTTGTGTCAAGCTGTCAGCTGTGTTTGTGGCTCCTCCTCCGTCTAGGTGACCTCAACCTGCCCATTTCTGAAAGCCAGAACAGAAAGAGGCAGCAGGAGCAGGAGGAAAGCTAAATAAACTATTGCAGTTTCCCGTATGCTATGACAATGGAAGGAGCAGGCTTAAGAGAAGCTTAAACAAACTTGTGATTCTAGTGTGCTTTTCCCTCTAGATTAAAAATCAAATGATGTCTACTCAGTGTATGAGATTGTATCATGAATACCATACCTTGGAATATGCATTCTATTATCATTTGCTTTTCTAAATTGTTCAGAAAAAGTGTTCCAATTACACAGGAAGTAAGCAAGTTTATTGAACAAAGAAAATACTCAAAAAGTAGTTTCACAGGTAACTTTTTCAATGACACAGTCTGTTGCATAAAGTGTCATAAAAACCCTGGTGCTTCTCAGATTTGACTCGTGACTCACAGTGTAAAAAGTTAGACATTTTACAGAGTTGCTCAACAAATTAAATTTTGGTTAATCTGTCACTATTTTATACATTTAAATGGTTATTGGGCTGATATACATGTCATTAAAACACAGAACTGCTTTCCTAGCAGGAAAACATCTAACCAGCAGTGGTTAGATTCACTGGTATAGTTTGAACTTTCAGGAGTCCCAGAAAAAGTATGCACTCATACTAACTGGGAGTGACCAGGACTGGGAATCCTCGAGAGAACTCAATGGCATATTCTTCCAATTGATCAGTATCTGGTCCTATTTAATTCATTTTTTCCCCCCAAAGGTTATGGACTCTCAAAGCAAAGCCAAAACCTTCTGCTCAATAGCTTCCTACCAAGGGAATCCACTAAACAAAACTGCACAGAAGTGAACACACCCTCTTCCGGAGCTTACTCGAGTCAGGTGCTTAGATTTTTTTACCTGCCATGGTTCTGGTGGCAGCTCTCCCCCAACAGCAGCCCTGTCTGTTTGCGGGTGGATCAGTGGCTTGCCAGAGAGCAGGAAAACCATCATTTGTACAGAAAGTTTGTAAGGCAGTCTAAAAGCCAGAGAATGGAAACCAGACATTGTAATGTCTCAGAAAAAGGCGGGGACGGGGGCGGGTAGAGAAAAAAATACAATCCCACCAAGAAGCAGGGAGTTGTAGCAGCCATGGGAGACACACGGCCATTTTATCTGGGTTTCCTGGTCACACAACTCTGTTCTCCAAACAGCTCCAGCAGGAGAGCAATGGTCCTAGCTTTTGCTGTGTGCCAGTCCTCCCCAAATCCCTCCCGGACTGGTCTCTGGGGCTGTGGCTTTAGGTCCCGTTTGTAAATCCTTTTGTCGGAGCTGTGACTTTGCTCTCCATACCTTACCGCTTTTTATGGATGAATATCCTAATGTATTGCTTCATGTCCTAAAACCATGTTCCTCGTCTGTTCATCCAGTAGGTGGGAAACAGCTCTGAGGGTGGGTGTGAGCAGCTCCCTGTCTTCTACCTTCCTCAATTTGTTGGTGAAACATGAAATTCATTTTGCTTCTGTGTGTATGTGTGTGTTTTGTTTTTAAGATGTGTCTCCTCCATCAAGAATATGTATAAATGTCCCTAACTTGCAACAAGTCTTCCTGAAACTCGGTCGTCTACACAATGGTTGGAAACCCTAGGGCTGTGAGGGGATGTAGACTCAACAATAGATTTCACGGAATCAGGAGCGATCGCGGGATGGCCGTGACCTTAGCAATCAATCACTCGGGCACAGAGGCTGAGCAGGGAGAACTTCACTGTGGGTTTCCAATGCGCTGGCAGCGCCTGCCTGAACTGCATTAGCAATTCAACTCGTCGGCCGCACCCACACAGCACTTTCTACTCTCTTTGCCCATTTGACCTGGAACAAAGCGAAAGCACAGTTTGCCCAAGTTGAAAGGTCCCCTGGCAAGGTGGTTAGCAACAGGCTTGCCAGTCCGGGTTCAGTCAGAGAAGAATAAACACACCTCATTAGCCAAACGCTGGCAAAAAGATTGCCTCACCATACAGCTTTCTAGTTTGAACCACTCCCTCTTCCCCGCCCCCGTGCCGCACCTGTTGGTCAACTTTTTACCTCTGCTTCTCGCCTCCAGCTTCCTGTAGGTCGAGGGCCAGAACTTTCTACCTTTCTTTAGTCACCACGAAGTGCAGAGTTTAATTGCAAAACTACCCAGTGAAAAGTTTAGTCGCGGGAGAAGAAACGACACTGTCTTCTATCATGCCTGGCTTGCGGCTTGCTACGTAGCAATTACGGCGTTACACTAAGGGCTCCTACAACTACCCATTTGGCAGTAATACTATAAAATTCGGTCGCTTGGGAATGTCCTCACTTGTCTAATAAGGCATTTAAGCGCACCCAGGACACGGAGGGCCCCGCCCCTAACTTGACCGCGGCGGCGTCAGGAGAGCGGCGCCCAGGAGCTGCCTCTCAGAGCGGCTCGGGAGTCCGCCGCAGCGCCCCGATGGCACCGGGACCCCGAGCGGTCCTCAGCCCTGCAAGCCCGCGCGCGGGCGGCCGGGGACCTGGGCGTCGTCCGCCACAGCAGGTGGAGAGCAGCGCAGGGAGTCCCCGCGGCCGGAGCCCGAGCGCCCCTGCCTCGCCGGGGACACCTGCGTCCACTCGGCGCAGCCGAGCCCTCCGACATTTCACGGACTCCGCGGCCGGCCGGGCTCCGTGCGACCGCAGAGCGCGCGTGGCCCCGGAGCCGGGAACCAAGCCCCTCCCAGCGCAGCTGTCGCCGCCGCCCGCGGGCTCCTTTCACTTTCTCACGGCCAAGTCACCCAGAGGGGCGCCGCTGCCGCCGCCGCCGCCGCCGCCGCCGCCGCGCCCGCGCACTCCGCCCCGCGCCGCTTCGCCGCCGGCCCCACCCACCTCCACAGCCCGGGCCACGCCCACCCCAGCAGTTGTTGCCTGCGATTGGCGCGGGCCGGCGGCAGCCCCGGTTCGCCCCTCGCATTGGCTGGGTCCTCACGTCCGTCCGACGATGGCCCGCCACTCCCTCCGCCCTCCCGAGAGGCCCGGCCCTCCCATTGGAGGAGGCAGAGGCGGGGGGCGGGCCGAGCAGCAGGCGGCGGGGTGGCGGTGGTGCCGGTGGGGGGAACATCTGGCCGGCGCCGCCGCGTGCGTGCGTGGTGCGTCCTCCCGCCCCCTGCCTCCCCCTCCGCCCCCTCCGCCCCCTCCCCCCGGCCCGGCGGCTCCGCGCTCGCTCCCTCGCTCGCTCCCTCGCTGTGTCTGGCAGGCTGCGGCCGCCGCTGGGCTGCTGCCATGGGGAGCCGTTGAGAGGGGGGCCCTCTTCGCTCCGCCGCGCTCCTCCGGCTGCCAGCGGGGGTGGGTGGGAGGGAGGGGCGGGGGGAGCGGGCGGCGGAGCCGGGATTGGGGGGTGGGGGGCCGGGAGGGAGGGGGGCCGGAGGAGGAGGAGGAAGCCCACCAAGTCCGGCTCCGGCGGCTCCGGCGGCGGCGGCGGCCGGGAGGAGGCGGAGGACGCGGCGGCGGCGGCGGCGGCGGGGACGCGGTGACTTAGGGCCGCTCCGTGTGAGTCCCGGCGCCCCTTGGCGCCCCGGCGCCCGCAGCCCCACCGGCACCTGGCGGGCGTGTGTGGCGGGGGGCGCCAGCTGTGCGGCCCCGGCCGGCCGGCCAGGGCAGGGCAGGGCAGTGCGGGCGGAGGGCGGGCCGGGCCGGGGGGCGCCCCCCGCCACTGGAGTTAGTTTGTGTGTGGTTGGAAGCTGTCGGGGCGGCGCAGCTGCGGGAGGCCCGGGCACGGGGGGGGGGGACGGGCCCCGCTGCAGCTGCGGGGTCGGGCGGGGGTGCGGGCTTCGCCGGCTCCGTGCCTCCTCCTCCTCCAGCACCCCCTGGCCCCCACCCCGCCGGGCCGGTGCAGCTGCGGCGCGGGGCGGGCTCCCGGCCGGTGCAGCTGCGGTGGCGCCTCTCGGGTGCGGAGGGCGGCGGGCTGGGGGAGGGCGGGCTTGGGAGCCGCCGCAGCTGCAGTGGCGCCCGGGACGGCCGCGCGGCTCCGGGGACCGGTGCAGCTGCAGTGGCGCCCGGGGGGGAGGGGGCGGCGGCGGCGGGGACGGCGAGGGCCCCCCCTGCCCTCCCTCCTGCCCTCCCCCCTGCCCTCCCTCGCAGGCTGGTGCAGTTGCCCGGGAGGCCCCGGGGGCTCGCGCGCCCGCGGCGTCGGGGGAAGCGCTGGCAACCACCTCCACCCCAGAACCCCCCCCCCCCGGCTGCTTCTTACGACTTTTCTTTTGTTGTTGCCGTGACCCGGGTCTGTTTTCTCGGCTGTTAGGGAAGGTGTTTTCCTGGCTGCACCAGTTCTACGCCCTACACCTCCTTCCCTGTGGTTTGTAACCTTCCTCTTTCCCCGAGTGTTTTACGTACGGCCAACTACGTCAAGATTTGCATTGCTTGTCCCACTCGGCACCCCTGCCCCCTCCCCTTAGAGAAATAACAGTCCCCCCCCCCCCCGCGTCAGTTCCCCCAGCTTGAAAAGATCCCTGTGGGTCCGTGATATCAAAAAGTGAAGGAAGGGGTTGGTGTGTGAACTGTGGGCGTCGCTGGCCAAGTGTGGTGCTTTGGGGCTCGTTAAAGTGTCACTCAGCGCTGCCCCCCACCCTACTGGGTAAGTGGGGGTGATTAATACCCGGTATCCTGGAATGTGGTGAGGGTGTTTGTGGAGAACAGGCTGTGTGACTGGGAAGGAATTTGTTCTCCCCCCGCCCACCCCCGAAGTTTGTGTCGTGAACTTGGGCATTCGTAATGATGTAATTCAGCGCGAAGTTGGAGAAAGTTAGGTTTGAGACTTGGAGTAAAGCGAGATGGGACTGCGAGCCGCTAGTCGTTGGGTTTTGTTACTCGTTAACTCTTGGGCACGGGGCTGGTGTCACCCTGCAGGCCTCAGCTCCTGTTTGGCTCCACACCCCTCCCAGGAGGCTGTGGAGATGTCACAGCACCTTGCAGGGACACCGGCCAGCCCGGCTGCCCAGGTTACAGTGCCGTGTCATGAGCCATTCGTCCAAGACCCACACACTCACTCTAGTCCAAAAGTTACCAAACTTAATCAGATCTGACTGCCCCCTCCCTGAAGATTTTCTCGTGATCCCGAACGTTACAGAGTGACCCAGAAAAAAAGAGATTGCTATGGGACACTGATCAAGGGGCCAAACGAAGTTGTGCACTTTGTAAGCAGAGATCTGATCTGCAGGTGCAGCATTCCTTTCTCTGAGGGGCTGCGGCCAGGGCCGTCGGTGGTGGTACTGGGTCTGCAGTACTTTCCAGGATCGCAGAAAGTGCAGTTTCAGCTTGTTGATAGTGAGAATTGAAATTTGCATAGGCCTGGGTGGTGTGAGAAACTGCCCTGAGAAGGTCGAGGTGAGATGAGAAGATGAACCCTGCCCGAATGATAGCAGGGAGGGACTGCCAGCTTTGCTGAGGCAGGCAGACCATTGTCCCAGCAGGGATTGCAACAACAAAAAAGTGCCCTCATAATGTTGAAGTGGCGCTGAAGATGTCCAAAATGCACCCCCCCCCCCGGCCAAACTGCCTTTGAAAGGCAAGGCTGTAGTTGAATAAAAGTGAGTCTGGGTTTCCTGAATAGCGCCAGGGCTCGAGTGTGCTGTCAGTCTGTGAGCCAGTCCACCAACTTGAGACAGAAGTGTTGCTGTTCCATAAATACAGGAGAACTCCATATGCTGAGTTTTTCCATTTCTTCTGTTAGAAAGTTTGGGGGGGGGAGGGAGACTTTGAAGTATTTTGTTTATACTAACAGAAGAGAAAAGTTCTCCTAAGAAAAAGCTGGTGGCAGGAGTGTAGAGGAGTAGCATATGGCATTAAAAGGAGCACAGCTGGAGGTAGCATTTCCATCTGAACATGATGTCAGAGCAGCTGACAGCCTGCCATCCCTCAGCCTTTTATTCTAACACACAGACAGGGAGTTAGTGTGTGCCGATCTGTGGTGGAGAAGGTATCTCATTCCTCTCTAACATCTCCACTTTGCATCTGTCTCTCTCAGTCTGCTTGTTTTCCACCGATGTAACAGACCTGGAGCCAGCAAGACTCAGAGGAAAGAACTTAATCAGGTTTATGTGTCCTAAAGGTAGGAGTAGCAAGAGATTAGATGGAGCCTATTTTCTGCTTTGGTGTTTTGTTTTATTTAATTTAAAAAAATTACATTACTTTTCTAACCCAGTTGAGGAGTAATATATGAAACGGAGTATTAAATGAACATCTTAACTGGAGTTGGAAGTCTTGGGCTTGATTTTTTTTTTTCTTCGCTTTTACTCGAGTAAATAACTTGAATGCAAAAATGTCTGGAGTTTTGAATTGTTAAGAAAGGCTTTGAAATGTTGTTTTTTGAGATCACTTCGGATGTGAATGCTTTTTTGATGTTGCTGTTTAGGTGCTTTTTGCTTTTGGGGAGAAGGGGAGAGGAAAGAGAAACAGTAAACTGGAATCCAGCATTCAGACTTAGAAGATTATTCCAGTTAAGCAGCTAGATTGTTGGTGTGATTAATTCCACTGTGAAACTTTATTCTTCAGAAACATTGAGCAGCACTGCTGCAACGTACAGCTGTAGTGCTTTTGAAACCGAAGGTTTCTTAAGAAGGGAGGGGGAAAAAAAAAACACTTTTGTTCCCAGGAGAATAGTTTGACTGGGTTTCCTCACTTCTCTTTCAAATATATATTTAAGAGATCTTTTATTTCGGCATAACAATAATTATTTGCAGGAGTTTTTTGTGTTCGCGACTAATTTAGAACTTGTAGGTTTGAGCTGCCTGAATTGGCCAGACAGCTGTAATCGCACTCCTCTATTCTTAATCTCTTTATCTGGGCAGCAGCTGCCATATGGCCACAGTCAGCTGGATCAGATGTTTATAAGCTTCCTTCTTCGTCCCTCTCTGTCCTCAGCCTCCTAATTTGATCAGGGCTACCTTGTGAGCCGCCCTCCAATCTTTATTTTTAGCTCTCTCAAGGATTAGGATTGATGTTAGCTGTGGGGCACTTAAAGTGATTGTATTGTCAATCTGGGTTGGGGCTAGCAGTGACATCTTGCAGAATGTACTTGGGGTTAAAAGGAAAGTTTTAGTGTCTCTCGGGCAGAGTGGAGCAGCAGCAGGACAGTCCTCTGAGCACTGAGTTAGAGGGTGCCCGGTCCCCCAGTACCCTCGCTGCTGGCGGCCGAGAAGGGAAAGCCAGGGTGTCTTTCTTTTTAAGGAGTTTACCCGGTGAAGTTGAGTTTTGACCCTTCGCCGTCTCCACCTTTCCTCTCCCTCCTCCCTTACCAGGAAACAAGGACAGTGATGCATATTTGAAAGAACAGAAGCTAGTGAGAAAACAAAATTTATCAAGTGATGTTGAAACAAAGTATTTTCTGTTGTGGAGGTAAGGCAGAGTCCCCCCAAAATTAATTTTTTTTTTTTCTGGAAAGGCTTTTTTTTCTGTTTAAAAAAATGCTGAACCTGTAAAGCTTTGGAGTTTAGTTTAACCGTGTTGTGACTTTATTTGTACAAGTTTGAGTTAATCTTAATTCAGGACTCATTCTACTTTGCCATGGATTCAAATTTAGGTGAAAATTTGGGGAGTTAAATAAAGCCTCTCTGGTCCTAAAGGTAACAGATTCTGCAAAGAAATATACGCATTTTCTCCTCAATTCATTAAAAAAAAAATCTTGGGATTTGTTCATAGTAAGATGATGTTTTCCATCTGTTGATGTAGTTCCTTCTGATCTCTTACACGTGTTCTGTACCTGCAACTCTTAAGGCATTAACATCTGTTTTTATACATGGGGCTTTTGTTTTTGTAACACTTTGACTTTAAAAGTAAGTTGTTTGCTAATTTCTGGACTAATTATGTGATTCCATTTTTTTTCTTGATTCAGCCAAATTGTGTGTGTGTGTGTGTGTGTGTGTGTTTAAACTGTGGTTTCTAAGTACAGTTGAATATAAACAAAAAGGATGGGGAGCAGGGTTTCTTTTTTTTTTTTTTAATCTTCTGGAATCTTTGTTCATTGTGTGTCCCCTTTGAAACTAAAGTGGTTGTATAGGACACACTGTGCGAGTACATTCCTCCTGAAAGAAGTGTACCAATTCCTGTTCTCAGTTGAAGGTGTTCAGAACTGGACTGAGAATCCGGGGAAAGTGGGGAAGGTAGAGCCTGTCTGTTGGGGCGAGGGGAATTAAGAGAGTGTGTGTGCATTCTTGCATTTGGGTCTGGGGAGTGTGGTCTGATCGTGCTCGGGTCATGAGCCTGATTAAAATGCAGGGACATGAACCTCGGCAGCCAAAGCGGACTTTTTTTTTTTTTTTTTTGTGGGGACTAGAGTGCTGAAAAGTTATTCTTGACCCAGCTCTAATGAGAAATTCCTCTCTTCGCAGGTTATGAAGACAGCATGGAGTTTCCAGACCACAGTAGACATTTGCTGCAGTGTCTGAGCGAGCAGAGGCACCAGGGCTTTCTTTGTGACTGCACAGTGCTGGTGGGAGATGCCCAGTTCCGAGCGCACCGAGCTGTATTGGCTTCATGCAGCATGTATTTCCACCTCTTTTACAAGGACCAGCTGGACAAAAGGGACATTGTTCATCTGAACAGCGACATTGTTACAGCCCCCGCTTTCGCTCTCCTGCTTGAATTCATGTATGAAGGGAAACTCCAGTTCAAAGACTTGCCCATTGAAGACGTGCTAGCAGCTGCCAGTTATCTCCACATGTATGACATTGTCAAAGTTTGCAAAAAGAAGCTGAAAGAGAAAGCCACCACCGAGGCCGACAGCACCAAAAAGGAGGAAGACGCCTCGAGTTGCTCTGACAAAGTTGAGAGTCTCTCCGATGGCAGCAGCCACATGGCAGGCGATTTGCCCAGTGATGAAGATGAAGGAGAAGATGAAAAGCTGAATATCCTGCCCGGCAAAAGGGACTTGGCGGCCGAGCCTGGGAACATGTGGATGCGATTGCCCTCGGACTCAGCAGGCATCCCTCAGGCTGGTGGAGAGGCAGAGCCACACGCCACAGCAGCTGGAAAAACAGTAGCCAGCCCCTGCAGCTCAACAGAGTCTTTGTCCCAGAGGTCTGTCACCTCCGTGAGGGATTCGACAGATGTTGACTGTGTGCTGGACCTGTCTGTCAAGTCCAGCCTTTCAGGAGTTGAAAATCTGAACAGCTCTTATTTCTCTTCACAGGACGTGCTGAGAAGCAACCTGGTGCAGGTGAAGGTGGAGAAAGAGGCTTCCTGTGATGAGAGTGATGTTGGCACTAATGACTATGACATGGAACATAGCACTGTGAAAGAAAGTGTGAGCACTAATAACAGGGTACAGTATGAGCCGGCCCATCTGGCTCCGTTGAGGGAAGACTCGGTCCTGCGGGAGCTGGACCGGGAGGACAAAGCCAGCGACGACGAAATGATGACCCCAGAGAATGAGCGCGTCCAGGTGGAAGGGGGCATGGAGGGCAGTCTGCTCCCGTACGTCTCCAACATCCTGAGCCCCGCGGGCCAGATCTTCATGTGCCCTCTGTGCAACAAAGTCTTCCCCAGCCCCCACATCCTGCAGATCCACCTGAGCACCCACTTCCGTGAGCAGGACGGCATCCGCAGCAAGCCCACCGCCGATGTCAACGTGCCCACGTGCTCGCTGTGTGGGAAAACTTTCTCCTGCATGTACACCCTCAAGCGACATGAGAGGACTCACTCGGGGGAGAAGCCCTACACGTGCACCCAGTGCGGCAAGAGCTTCCAGTACTCGCACAACCTGAGCCGCCACGCCGTGGTGCACACCCGCGAGAAGCCACACGCGTGCAAGTGGTGTGAGCGCAGGTTCACGCAGTCAGGAGACCTGTACAGACACATTCGCAAGTTCCACTGTGAGTTGGTGAACTCCTTGTCCGTCAAAAGCGAAGCACTGAGCTTGCCTACTGTCAGAGACTGGACCTTAGAAGATAGCTCTCAAGAACTTTGGAAATAATTTTATATATATATATATATAAGTAATATATATATGCATATATATACATATATATAAATAGATCTCTATATAGTTGTGGTACGGTCTAAAAGCAGTCTTGTTTCCTGGAACTAAAAAGTTGGGATATTAACTTGTTTTTTGCACTTTAGAATAGCATGAGAATCTCACTAATTTAGCATTCTGATAAAAGAACCTTTAGAGCAAGTCAGAGAATAGAGAGGTGTTTTCGTTATGAGGGGGTAGGGAAATAAGCCAATAAGAACCTTTTCAACAAGTTGTCCTATCACAAAATGCTTCCATATGGCTTAATTTTGTCAATACTGCATTGTCTTTTCAGCTGTCCTTCCCCGCCCCCACCCTCGACAGCAAGTTTTGTTTTGTTTTTTAAGTAGAAATTCCCTCCAGTTTTATTAGCCTCTTTATATGTCTCAAACTGCATGAATCTCTTTTGGCTGTTGGAAACCTGAATGCTTTTAGACCCAAATGGAAAATTTTTGAGATGCTGGATTATCTATTTTTAAACAAGCAGTTGACTTTCAACTTTCTGTGGCAACTTCTGGTTTTTGTGACAGTTCCCAATGAGAGCAATTCTGAGAGTACACTGGGATCACTGGGACACTGTCGTTGAGAAGGTTTGCTTGGGATGACAAGGATATTGCAGCTTCAGCAGTGTTGAACTGTGTGTTTAAAAATGTGAATTACTGTTCTTGTATACTGTAATTGATTACGTGGGCTGGGGGGGGTCAAAGAACTTGACAGGTTGTGTTGATGCTCTTAGTTGAGGCTTGAAAAGTAAATATTAACGCTACAGAAATGCATGAGTTTCAATGTATTTTTTTGTCTTTGTTTGCATTGTATAACTTTAATGAGTGAGTTTAAAATTATTTAATTTCCTTAGAAAAATAGCACCATTTGGAAAAAGGAAACTGGTGTTATGAAGAACGTAAATGCACTGTTTTTATTTTTTATTTTATATAATTTAAATTGACTTTCCCACTGTCTTTAAGTTGAAACTGTTAAGCTGAATAAAAACTTAAGCTGCAAACTGATAACTCTGCTACATAACAAGGAAAATATAAATGTTTACAAATGGCATAAAGATCTGCATGTGCAGTGTGCATTTATAACAAACTTGTAATTGCACAGACCCATGTCAGCTCAGAGTTCAGTGTACACATTTACCCGGTTGAGCATTTCTAGAATAACTACTGCACAAATTGACAATAGGTCATTCTCTCGTTTTTTTCTTTTTCTCCCCTTCTTCCTCACCCTCCCTCCCTTCCTTTTCCCCCCACCACCCTCCCCCCTCCCGGAAAAAAAAAAAAACTCATGAAAAGATTCTATGGACTAAAAAAAAAAAAAAAAGCCCCAGGCTGAAAGGACTGGGCTGCCTTGATAGACGTGGGGAAGGGGTTCGTAGAGGATGTGTCCCGCGGCAGCAGAGGCTGCGGCCCAGTGCACGGCTGTGACGCCCGGCGCGGGGCAGACGCATTTTGCACAGTGTTTGTTTTCCTGTCTTGCACTTACAAATAAGGTCTATGGGGGTAGCATGGAAAACGTTTGCTGTTTTTCCCTTTTTTTTTTTTAATTGCTTTTGTTTAAAATTTGATCGCCTTAACTACTGTAAACATAGCCTATTTTTGTGCTTAAGATACTGAATGGAAAACTCCATTGTGTGTTGCTGGACTGTTTTGGAAATATTTGGTCAAATATGTATTAATTTGGCTGTAATGGCATTTAAAGCAAACAAACAAACAAAAAAAGCTGTGAAAATGGCCTTGGAGCATTATCTTTAGTTACTTGAAGAATTTCTAGTTTTTGTTTAAATACAGTTTATGTTAAAATAATTTTTATTAATTTAGAGAAGACAATCAATGTCTGTGAGAAAAACGGACTTTTCTTTTGGATTTTCTTTTTGTGGTCATTGTGAGTGATTGCTTTTTCCTTTCCTTAGTTTCACATTCTTCCTTTGTTCTAAAACTTAGACTGACATCTAGCTTTGACAATCATAGTATGTTTTATTTTCCTGAGGGGGGAATAACTTATAATGCTGTTTAGTTTTGTACTATTGGTGTGTTGGTGAATTTTTAAACTGTGTGCTAACTGCAATAAATTATATGAACTGAGAATCCTTTGTGTGTTTTATTTGTGCTGTGGTCTTGTGTACTCCATGAAGTCAAATATGTACCGTGCATGACATCTGTATGTCAGTACCAAATCTACTCTGAGTTGACAAATGCTAAGGATGACTTAAACTACCCAAGTGGAAATGTGGTCCAAACAGTCTAGCCATTTAAGGACTTGTAAATGACACGTTTCCTATGATCCTGATCAACAGTGTTGAGGGAATTTCCCAATAAATTTGTGTGTGCATGAAACTTCGAATGGCAGTGTAGGGTTTTTCATCATCGTACTGTGTGTATAGTGCGTGGATTCGTCAGTCACCTTGTCCTGTGTTCTGGCTTAAGCAGAAAATTGAAGGAGACTGGATGTCCTCATTTGGAAGACTGCTCGGATAATAACTGGAATTCTGGCAGTTGAGTTAGCAGGCATTTGTGCAAGCTTAGTTGTGGTCATACTATTCAATTGCTGGGTGAAACTTAAAATTCCTAAGTTTTAGTTTTAAAATGCAATGAACACATGTACCGTTAGGAGAACTCTTCCCTACTTTTGGTGATGGTCGCTACTTCACCCTTGCTCTAATGGGTTCATGTCTGGGTAACAAACAGTGCTGGTTACACTGAGGAGTTGACAGAAGACTCACACTTGGATGGAATCAGAGAATTGTCACACAGTGCGGCGCGGCGCGGATAGCCAGCTGGCCAAGGCACTGACTGACACAAGAGAGGTTTGACATATCTGAGGTCTGTAACTGTCTACACTGTGTGTCGTGTCCTTCGCTACAGTTAATACTATTAACTTCCTAAAAAGTTGCAGCTTGATGTGAAGCTCCTTGTGAAAGATGTGATTATAAAGCAAAAATTTAACAAGTTAGAATTCTACTTTGTGGAAGCCATGTCTAGTATATGCCACTTGCCACCTGACTAACTGGTTAAGTACTGTTGCTCTTGAAAGGGGAAAATAATTTCTTGAACAGTTCCAAGCTTAATGAGGAAAGGATGCAGGTGGAGGGGAGGAAGACCTGGTATTTTCAGTTCTGTCATAATTGATTAAAGTTTCCTAAAGCTTCTTGCAAATGCAGAGTTCATTTTCTAATTTAGTTCCACTGACCAACATCTAATTTTAAATGGAGAACATTATCTTAAGCTTAACTGGGTCTGCTTACAAGAACAATACTTGATGTGTAATTCAGGAGAAAGAACTTCTCAGAATGTTCTTTGCAAAATGAACAGAATTACCAGTTATTACATTTGATAAGTGAAAGGAAGAAAACATTTGCTACATTTTAAAAAAGGAACTTGATTTGGCATGTGCTCTCGTTGAAAGCTATTCAGATAGACCCCTTTTTGTACATCTCTTACATAAGTATATTTAAATGTGATTTCATTTACTTTTGAAAGCACCTGTTTTTTTTAGACATAATTGGTTATCCCCTGAATGGCTGTGGCCTAGCACTGTTTGCTAGGTATCTTCATGGCCTGTGCGTGAAGCACGAACTTACGGACAATGATCTTGAATTTCCTTTCTGGTTAATTGTGCTATGATGAATAGGTGAATCAGGTAGAACTTTTTCTTTCGCAGACTTGTCATGAGCAAGGTTAGGAAGAGGTGGCCACTATATTAAACCTGAGTAACTCTTCACCTTAAAGTACTTTTTCCAAGTAAATTTTTTGATTTCAACTACCATCAAAGAAAATAGTTTTGGGGCTCAGCAAAGTAATACCACTTCTCAAATCTTAAGCTTACTGGCTTTGTGTATAAAGTACACCCCAATCACATAAAAACATAAAAACTTATGAAATCTTTGGATCAGATAAAAATTTTTTTTAAAGCCTTAAGTTTTCAACATTCCCTACTTTGCATGAGTATTTTATTCTTGTAACGCTTAAAGTATTCTTCGATTTCTAAAGCGATGTCTTGTCTCTCGATGGGAAAGTAAGATAATGATAGGTTTCCACTTGTAGTTAGTAATCTCATCGTTGGTTGTAATGGTTGCTTGTGTTTGAAGTTTCTGCTCAGGTATGGTGAATCCAGTTAGCTATGAATCTGCAAGAATGGAATAGAAAAGCCCTGTCCTTTTCATTTCCTGGAGGGGATACCTTCCTGAGAAAGGAAAGTGATCGGTGTGTTATTTTAAAGCAAGGAGTTTTCAGAATTTCATTTTTGGCTGTAGTCCAAGTTGATTACGCTGATGGAATTTTGTCCCTTACGTTAAATTTTTTTTTTACCCTGAACCCACAGAAACACAGCAGCGTATCTTTATAGGTGACCCTTTGTTTCTAAAACGCCGAATCACTTCTCTTTGGCTTCATTGCCTTAGTTCCATTAAAAGGAATATTTTGTTTCTAGTCCTCCTGACTCCTGCTTAATTTTCTTAATATTATAAATGGATAACTACATCAGTCAGACCTGACTGATGACACAGGAGGTTTTTCTGAGAACGATGAATTCATTCTCAGAGACGCTTTGGAAATGAAACCTTCAGTGTTTTTTCGAATCAACCCCTTAAACAGCCTTTAGTAATGAACTTTTGTAATTTTCTGTGACGGAAGCTAAGCTCCAAATTTAAAACACTGTAATGAGGAAGGATGACTTGATAGAAATGCAATCAAAGCTTGACAAGTTCATTGACTCCAAATATCTTATAATATTTCTGCTATCACTAAGTAAATTGTTGAATTAAGTATGCAGATAATTCGGCACATGGAACAGTTTTTCCCTAAACTATTCTAGTACTTGAAACCAGCATTTTTGTGAGGGAGGAATGAGTTGTCTACTTAACTCTCCTGATTCCAGCCTAATATTTATTAATATATTATTTATCATAATTCCTGGGTTGAGGTGAGCAAGGCTTAAAGGTAGTATGCAAAAACTGTCCTTTGAAAACCATATACCTTCTTGAATTTGGGGCTCTTGTTCCTCATGAGGTGTGTCCTTTTCTCATCTTTAGGAACAGGTTTGCAGTTAAGCTTACAATTTGCTATAGGGAGCCTTCTCTGGTTGGTTTGCCGAGAGCATTGTGGCTTTCAAATGTAGCACGTTAGTCGGTAACAGTTTCAGTGAGGATATTTCGAGTGGCTTTGAGAGGCCATGTCACACCCGTGGAGTCCATTCACGGAGATGACTTCTTGGCCGTTGTTATCATCTCTGTAGTTAGTCATTGAATCAAGCAGCTTTTATGAAGTGTCAGTATGCACGTTGAATAGGACTGTCTTGGAATTTTACAAAGTCAGCTTGCTCCAGCTATTCCAGTTTGAAATAAGTTACATTTGGAGTGATTATGATGTGAAGCGTGGGAAAATGTATTTGCATATTGGTAAATATTGACAGCATGGGCTAACTCTGTTGTTTCAATACATTGCATCTGCAATGGCATTGAACTTAAAAGAACAGCATTACCCCATTAGTGTGTGCCATGCCAGCCAGAGCTAACATAGCATACCTGACAGGGCTTAAAAGAATGAATCTCCAGGTATACGAGTTAGAACTGTTACCTAAAACTATGAAGAAAAACATGTTCATTTCACTTAAAAAAATCATACTTAACGTAGTTTCCTTTCAAGGGGATCATCGGAGAGCCTATTGTTTGTGGATGTCTAACACTTCCAAATGATCTCAGGCTAAAGTAAGAACATTTAAGTCCTCCATTTGAATTTCTTAAAATTTGTTTTTAAGAAATATACTCCAAATAGACACATTATTTTGTTACCCTTGTGGATCATTTCTTTGGAATAGAAGAATCACATAAGTTGGCTGTTCGGTAATATTGGAATGCCAACTGCATGTTTACCAGGCAGATAGCAATCCTTCCTATGGGTGTCTATTTCGACAATTTGGGGGAAAGCCTAATAGTATAATAACAGAGAATTCAAACATTTAAGAGAAATGCTCATTGATTATGAGCCATAGAAGCTCTTGCCACCTATTTGTACTTAATATTCAGGAATTCAGGTTTTTTTTCTCATTTATGATTTCACTGTATCATTTTAAAAAACCTCATAAATAGAAATTTGAGCATAAGACCATATCACAAAAATCTCATTTATAAGGATATTTCTTTACACACCTAGCTTTGAGAAAGACGGTCTCATTCTTAAACAGATGATGGGAGGGAGAAATGATACAGGTTTATATTGCAAAAAGTCATTATCCACAAGGCCTTAATGTGAAATTTAGGATCTTAGTGTAAAATGCTAAGATCGCTTTAAAATTCCCAGATCTTGCAATTGAAAAAAACCAATAACACACACACACACAGACACACACACACACATACACACACACACACACACACACACACATTTTTTTAAAGAAGCCACACCAAAAGCCCCGAAGTCTGGCACATGTAGTATTCCCTGAAGTTCTGATTGTTGTTGAGACAAACTAAAATTCATAGTTGATAATCTGCTCTCTTTCTCTCAATACCCTTTTGTTTACTATTGCAGGAGGGTAAATTTTAGGCATTGAGTGATTTTGACACCATTGCACAACTGACTTTTGCAGCCAACTTGTTTTTGTGTCAGACTTCTACCATTTTGAAAAAATGAAAACAAATTGGAGGTGAAAACTGCATTCATGATTGGCCCGGCTTTCCACTTTCCCCGACAAACGCCAGCGATCCACTGCGGACAGCCTGAGTTTACAGATGAAGGAATAGAGACATTTCCAGGGCCTTGTTAAGACGGACAACTTAGAAATCTTTAGGTTAAAAGAAAAAAAGTGTTTGGGGGTACGTTGGGGCACAATGTAGTTTTGCTTTTCATAGTAAGTGTGAAGTCTAGGAAGTGTGGCACTTTCTCACGTTCTATTTATGTTATGTCACTCGAGGGATGCCTCCCAGCAGCCCCAGAATTTCTGCAAAGGGGTGAGGGACGCGAGGCAGGGCTTCTTCATCATTTACTCAGTTTGCTTGGTAAAGGTGTTTATGTTGCAGGAAAAAAGTGGTATTTGCATCAAAATACAACAGGCGGTTTGTAGGTATGACCAGCATGGGAGGATTTTTAAATGA